AATCGTACCCAAATTCCCAAGCCAAGGCAACTTTGGTGATGACGGACGCGTGGTCTTAGGCAAACGAGTCAGGGTTTCCTAAATTTCCCAAAATAAAATATTTAGGTGGCGACTCTGTATCTGGCAAAGCAGTCCATGTTTGGCACTTCTTTCAAAAAAATCTATTTTCAAAAACGATTTATCGGATTTTGACTCTTTGATGATTCATCGGTCTTGCATTGCACTCTGAGAGATTAGATACAGGACCGTGACATTTGAGTCTCGACCTGTAGTGAGCCCATATGAACAAAACGGGATTCCCTCTCAGGACGTTCGGGGACGTCTATAGAACATAAGTTGTTAACCTGTTTGGTGTAGCTGTGAGATTATGAATTTAAGCAGCAGAGTAATGTTTGGTTAATAAGCTGTAAAATAGCTTTTTATTGTATAATTGTCTTTTCTACCCTTATATGATATAAAAATGATTATTTTTTCATTTTTTTCAGTTTTAATTTTCATTAATAAAAATTAATATAATCAGTATTAATTAATATCAATTAATATAAAAATTGATACATTTGCTAAAAATGAATGGAAGTATTATTGTCACAATTATTTTCCATTATAAATTAATTAGTATTAATTAATTGCTTAATTAGTATCAATTAATACTAAATATTTAATTTTTATTACTATCAATTAATATTAATAATCAACAATTGTTATTAATTAGTATCAATTAATAATTAATTGATTACAAAAGTATACCATATTAATTTATTAGTAATTAATACCAATTAATATTGATTTTTTTAATTACTATTGATTTTTTTCTTTTTCTTCAGAAATATACAATTTTTTATTTTTTAATTAATATAAAAATATACAATATGAATTTATTAATAATTAATGCCAATTAATATTTATTTTTCAATTAATATTGATTTTTTTCTTTTTATTCAGAAATATATAATTTTTTATTTTTTAATTAATAATATTAATATTTGGGTATTGAGGAGGCCATTTAAGTAATTTTAGCCCACAACACCAGCTGCGCGCTTAAGTAAAAAATTTAAACACCTCCTGACCAGCTTTTGAGATAAGCTGAGAAATAGTTTGATTTAAGCTATAAGCTGGTTAACTTAAGTTGCACAAAATACAATATTTTAGCTTAAATTAAACTAAAAGCTGAAATAAATAGCTTATAAGCTGTACCAAACATGCCTACTATCTTATTAAACTTTTGCTAAATATATCATTTTTAAGATGTGACAATGAGACATCATTTTAATGTGTATACTGTTATCTTATTAAATTTTTGCAAATTATATCATTCTTCTTAAAATGTGACAATGAGACATTTACAAAAAAAACAAAAAAAAAAAAGAAAAAAAAGAAGAAGAAGAAGTTACTATTGGATTGATTAAAAAAAAAAAGTGTATGACTATTGGATTGAAGGCAGTGGCCGGGATTAGGCCCTTCTATCCGCCTTGTCAATTCATGAACCTTCTTCAGGGGGTGATTCTTCGACATGTTATCCACTAAGGGGTTGTTTGGGGTATCCTAAAGAAGTATACTTTTTGTCTTTTTAGACTAAAAAGTTAAGGGAAAAAATATAGATATTTAGGTTAACTTTTTGACTTTTTATGAAAAAATGTGTATTAAAAAATTGTATAAATTAATGTGTAGAAGAAATTAGGATTAAGGATTGTGCAGTCATAATTTTTGATTTTTGGTGAATAATAATAATTTTTTAACTTTTTAACTTTTTTCACACTTCCCAAACTACCTAAGTCAACTTATAATATTCTTAGTCCTTCACTCTCCAACAATATGGGTACCAAAGGTTGGCAAATGATCTGGTTCCATCCTAGACCTAACTGATGGAAGCATTTTGCTTGGTTAGTCAAAAATGATCGTATTCTCACCAACGCCCTTCACTTGTGCAGAGGTTTGAGCTTAGACTCAACTTGTCCTTTTTGTGGGTACTACAGTGAGACTATGCTCCATGCATTGCGTGATTGTGAGATGCCCAGGAAAGTGGGGGAATAGCTTATTCCCCTCTCATGCTGGCTTTAATTCTTTATGTCTCCTTGGCTTAAGTGGGTTGACCACAATCTTGCCTCTCCAATGTGGATATCTTATAATAACTGGGCCTTGATTTTCTTCGCTTCCATTTCATCCCTTTGGTTTTGGCATAACAAACAAGTATACGTTCCAAATTTTTTCATACCTCTTCATCAGATTGATATTATTAGAGGGGAAGTTCTTGAGTTTGAAGAAGTACGAACCACTTTCGATTTGAAGGGTAGCCAAGGCGTACTACATGCCTTTTGGTCTCCCCCCTTCCTCAATGGGTTAAAGTCAATGTTGACGACTCTGTTTTGGAACCACAAGGCTTAGCAGGAGCGGGTGGGATTATCCGATCGGGCCGAGGCAGTTGGATTGGTGATTTTCGGTATCACATTGGCTCAGCCCTTGTCATTGTTGCAGAGTTGTGGGCTATTTGGCTAGTGCTGCAATTTACTTGGGAAATGGGGTTTCGAAAGGTGGTCGTTGAGTCTGACTACGTTGAGGCTCTGAATGTGTTGAAGTCCTCATCTATAGTTCACCCATGCATCAACATCTGTCAAGAAATCAAGGAAATTTTGGGTCGTGATTGCGTCTGTGATCTCCAACCCATTTGGTGTGAGGCAAACAAATGCATAGATTTCCTTGTCAGGAGTGCTCTTCGTCAAATTTCCTTGCATGAACATATTGTCTTTCCCCTTGGAAGTTGGCTAGGTTGATAGAGGAGGATACACCAGAGCTTGTTAGCTTTGAGTTTGTTGTTATTTAGGCCAAGGTTGGCCTGCCCTAAATAATACAAAAAGTCAAAAAGTCACTATCTTATTTAAGTCATATCATCTTATTTAAATCACATCACCTCTCTAACACATCACATCAAATCCAACCCAAACCCAACCCATATAAGTCAATAAGTCAAAAAGTGTACTTTTTTAGAACATCCCAAACCAACCCTTAGGCTTGGTTGGGGGTACACTAAATAATATAAAAAGTCAAAAAGTCACTATCTTATTTAAGTCACATCATCTTATTTAAATCACATCACCTCTCTAACACATCACATCAAATCTAATCCAAACCCAACCCATATAAGCCAATAAGTCAAAAAGTGCACTTTTTTAGAACATCTCAAACCAACCCTTAGTTTCGGCTTCGGCCCCATTTACACCAATATATATATATATATATATAATTAATTTCTCCTATATTATTTTAGCTGCTTTTTAACAATATAAAATGAATATTTTAGAAAATTTAATTATATAATAGAGAGTTTGATATAATGTGTACATACAAAATATACTAACTAAAATAAAAAGGATAAATTACACAGACATCCCCTGAAATTTGACCCATTTACATCCCACTCTCTGACGTTCTGGGAAATTACATTCCCACCTTTGTGTTTAATAGTTTCATTTCACAAATCTCCCTACTTATATAAAGGCGACAACTCCTAATAGAAAAACAGAGGAAATTATATTTTTTTTAAAAAAGGTAAAGCATAGGAAGGAAAAAAAAAAAAAAAAAAAAAAAAAAAAGTAAGAAAAACAAGAGTACAAAAGTTCAATATTTTCATTTCGTCTAAATAATTACAATGACAGGGGTTAGTATAATTTTCCAAACGTCAGGGAGTGATATGTATTAAATCCAAATCTCAGGGGGTAGCGTAATTTTCCAAACGTCAGAGAGTGATATGTATTAAATCCAATTCTCAGGGGTATAAGTGTAATTTACCTAAATAAAAAGGATAAATTACACTGACACCCTTGAGGATTCTATTTACTACAGATTCCTCATCACGTTTGAAAAATTACAAATTTGTTTGGTTTGTGTTTTGAAACATGTTTTTGGAGGAAAATTTTCAAAAACATGTTTGGTTACAAATTTTCTCAAAAAAATTCCAAAATTACTTCTCTCTCTATTATATATCAATCAATCATTTTCTCTCCCCCTTCTCTCTTCTTCTCAATCATTTTTTCTCTCACATACATCTACTCAACTACAACAAAATATCAAATTATCCCAAATTCTCAAATTCCAAACCTATTTTCAAAATATACAACCAAACAAACTAAAAAATATTCTAAACTCTCTTCCCAATTTTTTATTTTGAAAATTTATCTCAAAACACAAACCAAACACACCTTACATTCTTTTCCATGAAGTTTGTAGTCTCATTACAAATTGCCCCTGAATGCCTTAAAATTTTTTAAATGACCATTTTGCCCTTTTCCCTATCATCTCTTTCTTCATATCATCACGACTATATTCTACAATTTTCCATCATTCAATTTTACTTGAATATATTCTTATTGTGTCATATACAAACATAAATTTTATATATAATTTTTAAACACAATGATATAACTTAATAGTGACATTTCACTTTAAAACAAAACATCCATGAACATGATTTATATTTACAATAATATCACTATCACAATATGTTTATGATATTTTTTGTATAAATTTTTATATATGAATAGAATTTTTCATTTTTATTTCCACAATTATTTTTCTTTTTTGTCTATTCACCCACATTTATTATAGTATTACCAAACACCGTTATTCACATTTATTACAGTATTTTGAATTTTTATATTTTTTTATTTGGCGAATTTAAAAAAAATCACAAAATATATATTTCTTAAATATATATAGATTAGGTGTATCTAAAAAATAAAAAAATTATTTAAAATATTAAAAAATCAGTAAAAATAAAAAAAAATATAAAAGAAAAAAAATTAATTTTTTTGTGTGAGTTAAATCAAATAAGATAATTATTATTATTTTTTGAAATGACATAAATAAAATATTAACATTATTTTATTATTTTATATGTATAAAAATTAAAAAATAAATATATTATTTTAATTTGATACAGAAATAAATATAAGAGAGGAGAATCTAATAATCTATATCAAACACAAATATCTGAATAGTTGTACTCAAAATTGGTTTAACCTGATATTGTGCTCTTTTGCGACACTGTCGTTTGGATGAACGAATAATGCTCGTCGATATCAACGACATCGTTTTGATGTGTTTTGTTGGGGCGTTTTGGGGGTTGGACTTGTCTGAAAAAACCAGAGTGAAGCCATGAAAGGGCGAGAAGATGAGGAGGAGAGAGCTCTTACGAAGGTTTTTCTAACATCGCTGTCGGCAATGGTGGCCGAGACAACGACGTTTCCTATAGACATAACAAAGACGAGGCTCCAGCTGCACGGCGAGTCTCTCTCCTCATCTCGTTCCGCCTCCGCCTTGGGCGTCGCCGGCGAGATTCTTCGGCGCGAAGGCCTTGTGGGGCTGTACAAGGGCTTGTCTCCGGCAATCGTTCGACACATGTTCTATACCCCCATTCGAATCGTCTTTTACGAGCACTTGCGCAACACTTTCGTCGTCTCCACTGACCCTTCACTTTCTCTCTCTACCAAGGCTTTAATCGGCGGCTTTTCCGGTGTCATTGCTCAGGTACTTGATCTTCTTAATTTCTTTTAATTTTGAATGAATTATGTTTGTTCTTACTGTTCAAATGCTGGATGAGGCATTGTTGAATTTAACATATGAGTTTAGTCTTTTCGCATGCCTTTTATTGTTGATATGTGGTTGCTTTGAAATGGTGAATTTGGATGCATAGAGTACATGATTGTTTATAGTAGTTAATTTCTCTTTTTTTTTAATCTTCTTAAACTACACAATTTTTTTCAGTTCATGTGGTCCAATTGGAGATGATTTTACAATTCAGAAACTGGTCAAACTTGATTGATGATGGGTGTAGAGGTTATTTCAGAATTTAAACAACTATAACCCTACAACCATACAATCATTTTTCTTACTATTTTGAATAAACTGTACAACTAATTTGATGGGTGTTTGGTTGTATGGTTAGACTCTTCATATTTTGAAATGACATTTTTTGCCATCAAATTAGGGTTTAACGGTTACTGATTTGCACATTCATCTCCAATTGGGCTATATGAAGTAAAATCGGAAATTTTAGGAACTAAATAGATAAAATTGATAGTTTAGATATGAAAAAAAATAAAAAAAATGGTGATAGTTTAGGCGATAAAAATGAAATTATTCTAAATTCTGGGATATGATTAGCATTTTTAAATTAATCAGTTGATGATTTTTATTGGATCATGAATTTCAAAGAACGAATTTTTGAGTTGGCGAGAAGAAATGTGCATTAAAACGTAGAAATAAGAAATTATGTATTGTCATTGGGTGATAGTTGCAGTGTTGTTCCCTAATTAATTGATTACCTGACTTCCTGTGGTTTGTTAATTGGTTCGGGTTATTTAGGAACTTAATATTTTTTCCTATTTGGTTGTGGTTTCAATTTGAAGGAACCATTTTGATATGGATAAACATCATGTAAACAGCTCTAAAAGAATTCATAGAATATTTATCTGGTTTAAAAGCTGAAAATTCAAATCATAAAATTGTGATTAGTAACTAGTTATAAAACATTGTGTTTCTACCATAGTTTTTATAGGCGAATGTGTAATGTGAGGCGTTGGGGCATATGCATTTCAAATTTTTATGTTTAGTAAATAAAATAAATAATTTAATTAAAGGTGTAAACACTTTTTTCTTCAAGCCGTCGAACATTTCATTGCAAAGAAGGAAACTACCCTCGTTGAAAGTAAAATTGATGTTCTGAACTTTAGTGATTGAGTTTTTCATTTGAGCATTAACCGTGTTATTTTTATCTTTTTTTGGTTGGTCATTTGCTTAATTTTTCCTATAGAATATAGTTGCAAAATGGATTCTTTTTAATTTTCTACTTTTTTATGTTTAAACCATCTACTAGACTAAGTTTAACAAGAGTCTACGACAAGCTCTTCATATGCATACTTTTTATATGCTTATGTGCAAAAAGTATACCAGGCGTACCTAACGCGCATGCCTCAAATTGTATGCGCAAGCCTTGGGGGAGTATAGCCCAAAAATCAAAGCCTTGATGAGTTTTGCTTTAGGCTCGCTTTGAGGTGAGCATCAAGGCGAGCCTCAGTAAAGCGTTTTAAAACTTTGGTTTCTACATTTGCTTCCAGATGAGCTTACTAGGCATATTCTGGAATATGGTTGATCTCAAATCATGCATATTATTTACCAATGACAATTTTAGTTTGTGACAATAGTAGAGCAGCTATTAATTCTAGGTTGGAATCATAGATAAACACCCTTAACAATTAAACATATAAGATTAAGTTTGACTTGCACATTGTACTGCAACTATGGTAAACCCAGGACAGAAATCAAATGACTGAAAATTGATGGCCAAGAGATAGCCAAGAAGTGAACTGTTTGCTATCGTAGCTTCTATAAGGAAGTAGAGAAAGCATGATAAATAAATTTTAAGAAAATGTCCTGTGTGAGCTTCTTGGAATTATAGAATACTGCCCCAAGTAACAGGAAAAGTTATTCATTCTTTATACCGAGAATTTCACCATTGAAAATAATGATTTAATAATAACAATAATAAAGTGGCCATCTTAAAAAAAATGAGCATGGGCGAAGTGAAGATGTTTAGATAAATTGGTGGTAGAGAGAATAAGAAAAATAATGCATGAGAGAAAAATTAGCGGGGATATCAATCCATAACAAGATGAAATCAAAGTAGATGGTTTATTACATGCAAAAAAGACCAAATGAATGCTTCACTGCAGAGCAGTGATTTGATTAAGAGGGGTGGGCACACCTAAAGGACATGAAGCAGACTAAGATCATGAGTTGAGGTCATGAGAAGAGATATGATCCCTTAGGACTTATTAGTGTGTGGGATACATCTCTAGTTTTATATGACATAGAAAATACTAATGTAACTGACTCTTCTTGTTGGGATTAAGGCATTTTGTGATGAGGTGGATTAAGGTAATTATAAGGGAAAAATCTACTATACCCCTTGTCTTTTAAAAATAGTCACATACTTCCATGTGATTTTGGACTAAACTGTTACTGTTATTTTTTCCAGCTAAAATAAATGGAAAATGTGCTACATGCGCCTGTTTAGAAAGTGGGGGAAAAATAGTTGAAATCAAAATTTAATGTCTACCTCTTATTCTTATACCTTCAAACTCTAACCCTAACCCACCCACACCACCTCCACTCACGTCCTCTGCCTGCTCCACCCATCTGTAACCTCTCTCGCCACCACCTCCCTTCTTCCTGACCTCCATTGCCACTGCCTCCCTCTTCCCCCACCTCCAGCAAACAACTTTCCTGTCATCCATGTCACTAGCAACTACTTTCTCCACCTCCCAGCAGCCTCCGGCGACATCCCCCATGTCTTTCTTCACTCCCAACTGCCTCCTTCTTATCCCCTGCCACCTTTCGTGTTACCCTTTTTGCTTGTACCATATATGTACATGGAACACACACATACACACAAAAGTGTTGTGCATTGAAAATTCTATTTAAGAAATCATTGGTTGAAGACAATTTTGCTGAAGGGGCATGTATTGGGTTCTCCTTTGTATAGATATGTTTGTAATCATATAGATAATGGTTTTTGTTGGTGGGCCTTCACCTTATTGCATATGTATGTATGATATGTACATGGGTATATATATGGGGCCTTCTACATTACACACTCCTTTTTGGGGTGTGTATCATATGCAAGTTATAACTAGGGACGTAAGAAAAAACGAAAAAATCGACTAAACCGATTGAACCGGACCAAATCAGCTATATTTGGTTTGTTTTTTAATAAGAATTGGTTTGTGCGGTTTTTTAATTTTATTTTTTTGGTTTTCGGTTTGGTATTGGTTCAAGCACCTTGTACACTGAATTAAACTAAACCGACCGCTTTAACATATATTGTATTTAATATATATAACTTAATAATATAATGATATTAATAAGTATAATAAATTATTGACCTTAATTAATTAATCTTATCATCTCTATAACCTAAGTTTATAAACTCTTATTATATGTAAATTTAACTCTAACTCATTATTCTTGAAACCTTAGTATTTTTTAACTTTTTTTGTTTGTTTGTATTTTTGTTAATTTAGGAATTGAAAAGTATTTATTAAATGTATGGATTGGATATGTTTGAAGTGGTGTTTAATGTTTTTGTATAAATTAGTGACTATACTAAAAAGTGGCTTAAGTTTGAAAGGTCTTAAACCGATTAAAAACCAAACCGTTTCAATCGGTTCGGTTCGGTGCGGTTTGATGGAAGAAACAGTCTGTGTCGGTACTCAAAATAATAAAATCGACATTGTCGATTCGATAAATTTTTTTACCCAAATACTGACCGTACCGAATCGATTACATCCCTAGTTATATCAATTTGTGGTGTGGGTACCACAAAGTGTCGTAACCGAATCACTTTTAGTCATAACTAAAGAACCATAGTGGGTCATAAACTAAACACTACTGAAACGCATAACCTCTTCGGTCACAACCGAAATAAAAACTACAACAGGTCATAACAAAGTCATAACCAACACCACAATGAGTCATAACCAAGTCATAACCAACATCAAAATTGGTAATAAATAAACACCACTTGAGATATAACCAAAGACCTCTTCGGCCATAACCAACATTGAAATTGGTCATAACCAAACACCACTTGAGGCATAACCAAAGATCTCTTCGGTCATAACCAAAATAACAAACACAATAGATAATAACAAAGTCATAATAACCAATACCATAATGACTCATAATCAAATCATAACTAACACCACAATTGGCCATAACCAAATATCACAAAAGTTATAACTGGGCATATGGTACACTCCTTTTTGGGGGGTTGTATTATAGAATTTCCCTATATATTTATAGATGTACATGGAATATATATTCGAAATATACATCAGTTGTTTGATTTTTATCTTGTATCAGGTATTGTGGTTTTAATCCAAGGTGGTTTTGTGGATTTCAGTGAGTTGACTCAAAGTTAATGGTAAACTCATTTTTAATAAGAGGGTAAGTCGAGTGTCGTATTTTGGTCAAAACCACATGGGGGTATGTGGCCTTTTTTAAAAACAAGGGTAAACTGCTACCGGACCATACCAACATAAGGGTAAAATAGATTTTTTCTTAATTATAAAAATGTGGGTATGCAAAAGTTTTATGGTTCTTACCATATATTTTCTTGTTGTTCGTGGTGTCAATCTTTTTCTCTTTTAATTTGTTCTTAAACTTATGTAAAAGAAGAAGAAAAGAAAGAAAGAAGAATTGAAAAGACATGTTAAATTCCTTTATTTATTTTATTTTATTTTATTTATTTATTCTGGCGACTCCTAACCAGCATGGGGTAACCATTGGGTTGCTTTTGATTCCAAATGTTTTCGTTTTTGGAGTCCAAACTTGTAGGAACTGAAATGACAAATTACCAGGGCCCAATTTGGGTAGCACTCAGGCCAAAACTGAAAGAATAGGCTGCTGGATTAGTTAGCAATTCGTGGACTGTCACTGGACTGGAATATGGATTGCCTAGCTTTATAGAGCACTAATGGGAATGCATATGGTATGCGGCAGTGATATGCTTGTTTGTATCACTTAGCTGGAAACAATAATTGGTCTAGATGTGAGCATTTGTTTCGTCCAACCAATAGCTGATATATTGGCATGATTGGAAAAATTGTACTTGAAATACAGTTACTTGATGAAAGTAGTGTTGCCTGAGCATATAACATGGATATTTTAAGATGATGGACAAACAATTCGGGCATGCCTCATTATGTGATGCTTCAGTTTTTCCTAGGTTATAGAAGAAAATTTGAATGGCTGACTATATGATTATGCACTGGTGTCTTGAGATTAATGGATCTGCTATGGAGATAAACACTTGTAACCTATGAAGCATGGATTTGGCAAAATCAGTGCCGTGGCGGTGTCGGATATGGGGACACGCTGGGAACACGTACGGAACACGCCATCTGCCGTGCCCCTTTAATTTAATTGTTTTTCTTGTAGGGGACACGCGTGTCCAGATCTGGACACGGCGTGAGACACGGCGAGGAGGGAGAGACCAAGGAGAGAGAGTGTGAAGGAAGAGGGTGAAGAGACAAACCTATTGCGCGATCGAAGACATCTAGTTGATCGATCGAACATCCAGTCTCCGCATCAACATCCAGTCGTCGACGATCTGTATCCCTTCAACTTCACGACTTCCCCTGTAAACATCTCTCTCTCTCTCTCTCTCTCTCTCTTGCTTACATCTCTCTCTCTCTCTCTCTCTCTCTTGCCTTCTCTCTCGCTCGCGTCGTCTTCTCTCTCTCTCTCACTCGCGTCTCTCGTCTTCTCTCTCTCTTGCTTGCGAGTCGCGTCTTTGTTCCTCTCGCTGACTCAGTCCCTCTCGCCCTCTTTCTTATCTTATATATATACATGTGTATTAGTATATATAAAATAATATTAATAAGATAATATTATATTATAAGTATAATATTTTTTATCATATATATATGTATTAGTATATATAATATAATACTATTTTATAAGTATATATAATATAATATTATTTTATAAGTATATATAACCAATAGTGGATAGACGAGGTTGAGGAAAAATAAGGTTGAGAGCAGCGAAAGGAGATTGAGATGGGATGGAGGAGGTTGGAGATAGTAGATGAAGACCGAGAATGCAGTGAATGAGACTGGGAGTGGATAGGGAAGGGCTAGGGTGGGTTAAGGACAGGATGATAATGATTGGGAAAAGTTTAAGAATAATAGGGGGGAAGTGAGTGAAAAGTTGCTATTAGAGTATCTCTAACGCTAAATTTGAGTAAAGATTTGATTAAAAGTTTTATTTGATAACAAATATTTTAATGTTAAATTTTTAATTTTCATCAAACAACCAGTCAATCGGGGCAGTGGTAGTTTGGCCTAATGTAAATTTTCTTCAAAAATTTTTCAATTCGGTCGTCCACCCGATTGCCCAACTGGTCAAGTTCGGTCAGTTGTCCACTCAGTTGATCGGCCAGTCATCCATCCGATCATCCACCAACGATCACTATTGAGATTTGATAAAAGGTTAAACGCTCCCTTAATTTAATGAAATTTTTAGTTTTCCTCTCATTTGATACGGGTTTGATGCCACGATTGGAGCCCAAAAAGTAGCGTGTTTCATCAAATTTAAATTTGATGACAAATCTAATACTAGGGTTGGAGATGGTTTAAGCCTCAATTATTTCTCTTTCGTTTGTTAATCTAAAGCTTACTAGCTGAGTACGATTTTGCCTAAATTTCTTTTTTTTTTATATATATATATATATATATGTGTGTGTGTGTGTGTGTGTGCGCGTGTGTATTAGTATATATAAGACAATATTAATAAGATAATATTATTTTTTAAGTATATATAACATATTATATACTATTTATACATATTAATAAAAAAACATATGTATACAAAATAAAATAAAAAATTATCAGAAACATATTATTTAAAAAATATAATAAATAAATAATATAATTAATGTATATTAAAATAAAAATATTTATAAAAAAAAAAAAATTGCTGTGTACATTGCCTTGTCCGTCTCAAAATTGCCGTGTCTTGTGTCCGTGTCCGTGTCCGTATCTGTATCCGTGTCCGTGTCCGTGTCCGTGCTTCATAGCTTGTAAAGTCCTTATCCTAGATATGTATAACATGGTCTCAATTTTCTATTCCCTTAGTCTAAGGTTCTTCTGATGGTTTTCTGTTCCTTTTGGTTGTTCTAGTAAGACACAAATTCTTCAAGAATATTCATTTTTTTTCAAATTTCCAGTTTATGAATCCCTCTGTCATGAATGCTAAGAATCTTATGTGCGGGAAGCTTTGTTTTCTATTCTATCTGTCAGTTTGGAGATTTCTGCTCTTTTTTAAGTTTGGTGAACTACAGAGAAGGGCACTTATGACGTGTTCGTTTATTTATACATCTTAAAAACCATACTAACCGAAAGCAAGCAACTTTTTCAATTTAATTATACTTCTACTTCCCACTTTGTTTCTGGTACCCATCCTCATAGTTTGAGGATGCATTTGGAACTTATATTGCTGAAGATTTGTAGATTTAACTACAGCTAGGCCTAGAACATGAATGTTCCCTGCTGAGTATAAAGACTTACTACGATATTATTTTTTTTATTTTTATTTTTTTCATGGATCAATTTCATAAAGAAACATTTCAAGAGTTGGTTTGAAAAGTTCATTTGTGTTTTTACATAGCAAGCTATCTTGTTACTAAGTAACACTATAGATCACCTCCCCCTGGTCTACATAATTTTGCTGGGGCAATAGGTCCCTCCATGTATGCTGGTTTATGGTGCTCATATTATTCCTGGAATTATTGTTGAACTTTGTCCTTAATGTTGGGTCACCTACTTTTTATCATGTTTTCTCAAATAATTCAGAATTGTAGAAGAACTTAAGTTTTGAACTATTTGTTGAATCATAAACATTGTGATGCATATTACAGTTTATTCATGCCTCCATGTCTTGAACGGCAGCATGCATTTTACTTTTTCATGCTTTTGATGCTCATATCTGAAGAGTTTTCCCATCAAGATTTGGTGAGAATAATCTTCTTTCTTGATTTTCCTGTTTCTCTTCGATGCCTCTGTCAGTACTTTGAAGTACACACTTCAGAACTGGCTACAAACAATCTTCCTTTTTCCCTTTGTCTTAAATTTGACATGCTTTGGAAGGTGAAGCTGATGATCTGTTCATGGTTGTTGCTGCAAAAAGATCCATGCAATGGCCTTGTTGAATGCATTATTTTTCAGTTTTGTTCAGTGATCATTTTACTGAAACCTATTGGTCTAGTGGTTGAACTCTGCTTTTTTGTTGTTGTTGTTGTTGTTATGCAAGTTTGGAAAGTATCATAACTTGTGCCTACCCCTAATAGTACAGGTAGTCGCAAGCCCTGCTGATCTTGTTAAGGTGAGGATGCAAGCAGATGGTCGTATGGTGAGCCAAGGTTTCCAACCCAGGTACTCGGGTCCTTTTGATGCTTTTAATAAGATCTTACGAAAAGAAGGCTTTGGAGGACTTTGGAAAGGGGTCTTTCCTAATGTCCAAAGAGCGTTTTTAGTGAACATGGGAGAATTAGCTAGCTATGATCATGCAAAACATTTTATTATTCAAAATCAACTAGCCGGTGACAACATTTATGCCCACACATTGGCCTCAGTCATGTCGGGTCTTTCGGCAACTACTTTGAGTTGTCCAGCTGATGTAGTTAAGACAAGAATGATGAATCAGACGGCGAGTGAGGAAGGCAAGGTTAAATATAGAAACTCTTATGACTGTCTTGTGAAGACAGTCAGAGTTGAAGGATTGAGAGCACTTTGGAAGGGGTTCTTTCCTACATGGGCAAGGCTTGGGCCTTGGCAATTTGTGTTCTGGGTTTCTTATGAAAAATTCCGACAAATTTCTGGGCTTTCTTCTTTCTGATGAATTATTTGATCCATGCAAAATTTGAATGTCTTTTTATAAATTATCTTATGTGCGTGCATTAGGCCATCTCCCACACTTGCTTCTTTTTTTTTTTTTTATAATTATCAATTTTGAGTGACGGTGTAGTTAAAAGCTGAGTGCTCCAATCTTAACATTTTTGTATCACATCTTTTTAAAAAATTCTCAATTTATCCTAAAACGTTCTTATGAACATTTTTTTTTTTGTGATAGAAAACTATCTCCAAACTTTTTAAAATTTCATTAGACTTGAGTAAAATATGATCGTTGACATTTGGTGATGGATTTGATTCATTTATAACTTGATGAAAATTTTGTTTCACCCTTGATTTAATGCTGGTTTGATAGAATGATTGGAGTTCATTAAATTTGAATTTGGTGAATAAAGAATTGGATATGTTCATCCCTACTCTTTGGTGATCATTCAAATTACGGGTTGTTTGATCTAAAATTTAACTGCCTTTTTAGCTTCAGTTGTGCATGCATTAGTCCTAATTAATTACGCTTGTTTCGGTAGAAAATATTTTTTTAACAAAATATATTTTTCACACCCAAACAAAATAAAAATAAAAATATTTTCGAAGGATATTTTTTTAATGTTTAGTTGTGTTTTTGAATTTATTGTATTAATGACCATATTGGTGGTTATGGCGTGGTGGTTGGTAGAGGTGGGGTGGAGGTAGAGGTGGTGGCGGTAGTGACAGTGTGATTGTGAAGGTGATAGTATGGCGGTATTGGCAAAATTCTAGTTTGGCACTTATTAAAAATGATAAATATATATATTTTTAATCTAAATAGACCTATTTTTTTTTTTATTGATTATGAAAAATATTTTCTGTTATACTAAATGTTAGAAAATGTAAAATATACTTAAAAAAAATATTTTCAAGCGTGCCTAGATTTTGGGTGTTGCAGTTCTCTTTTATGTTTGTTTTTTGGACTTGCACGTGCATCAGTTCTTTCAATTAAGATATATCTTATTTAGTGGTTGGGAATTATAGAAGGGCAAACTCAATCATGGGTGGTTATCACTTTAATTATAAATTACTACCTTTAGGTTTTGTTTGGGAATAAATTATTTTGGTTAGTGTTTTTTAGTGTTTTGGCTATTGTAGTCGAGTTCAGATCCTTTCTAGTATCTTTCTTTAGTGCTTCCTACGGGGACGGTCCAGATTCGGCCACGTCTCCAACTTAACAATGGGTGACTTAGATCTATCTCAACACCAAAAAAATAAAAAAAAATAAGAGTAATTCCATAATTTCATCCAAAACAGCCTGTTCCCACCCTCTGGAGTTGTTGACTGGCGATCACTTCCATCTCACGACGGTGAAGGTCTTCGGCGAACATCGACAGCAGCCCCCCTTCCAAATCCCACTCTCGCGAAGTGGCCCAAAATTCTTCTCGGTCTCTCCCTCTCTCTCTCTGTCTCTCATCCTTTTCTTCAGCACATGTCCTCCGTCTTTTCTCCTTCAAAATTTTTCTGTCATTACTTTTTTGATAGGTTGCAAAAAATATCTTCTGTAAAATGATATGCCCCTACTTCTATGATAGATGTGGTTGTGAAGCCTCATAAACAGTGAATTGCTTTTGTCTAAGTTCCAAAACTTCCCAATCAATCTAATTTTCCCCAAATTTTTTAAGCAAATATGGTAATAAACACATTTATACAAATCACCAAAAGGGTTCCCACACTGATCAATCTCGACACTCAATGGGGAAAAATTAGAGCACAATTCGTTAGTTATTCTACACATCAATTTTTATTTTTTCCAATTTTTTTGAGCCATTCAAATCACCCAGGTGAACTATATCTATTAGGAAAAAAATAAGGCAAAGTATATCTATAAAATTGGGGTTCTTTGGATTAGTAATGTGTGTGAGATAGAGAGAGAGAGAGAGAGACAGAAACGATTCAGAGAGAGAGAAACTCTGTTGGTGGTTTGGAGAAAGGATTTGGGTATCGCCGTTAGTGTACGTGATGATGGTCGGTGATGGATGTTGTCTTCCTCTTCCTTTGTTAACCATCTTCCTTCGTGGAGTTCAAGTCTGTGAGAAGGAGAGAAAAGAGCGATTGTTTTGAGGGAATTTTCTATTTATTTATTTAATATATATATATATATATATATTTTATAACTAAATCAGATCTAAGGTGCTCATTGGTAAGTGGGGGATGTGGCCCAATGTGGGCTGACCCCCGTAAGAAACACCGGAGAGAGATATTGGAGAGGATCCAAACTCATTTTAATCTGGTTAAAAAAGTTATGCTTGGAAAGATAGTTGTTTTTTATTTATTTATTGTTAATTTGATAGTTGTGAGAGAAAAAGTAAAATGATTATAATTTGGATGTGACATTTTATCTTATTAATTATTTTAGCCTATTTTTTCTTTATTAACTATTTTAGTCCAAACCTAACTTTCCAAACAAGAAAGTTACTGCAAGTTATTAAATTATTCTCTTTATTTTTTTATATATCTTTTTGTATAAAGTTAAAAAATTATTTAAAAAGTCAATTGTCAAATTATCCCTTAATATCTTTATCTTTTAATTTGTTTCAATCTCAATCTTCTATTAATATTATGTTAAGAAAGATGACCAAAATGGTAATAATAATAATAATAATAATAATAATAATAATAATAAAGTATGTGAGCTTTAAACATTTCTGTCTCTCCTAGGGGTGTAAATCTGGCCTGCCCCGGCCTACTCGGGCCTGGGCAAGCCCATGTCGGGTCTCGCGAGCTCTCTCCAAAATTCGGGCCGCGCCGGCACACGGACCAAAACATTAGGCTTAGGCCCATGTCCAAGCCCAAGAGTATTCGGGCCTTAGGCGGGCGGGCCCGGTGGGCCTGGCCATATTTTTTTGTTTTTAAAATTTTTTTTACCAAAATTTTATTATTTTTTACTAAAAAAGACACTGGGCCTTGGGTCGGGCCTTGAGTGAGTCTTAAGTTGGCCGATGGGCTGGGCCACGGGCTGGGGCGAGTAGGCTAGGCTGGGTTTCAAAATGATGGCCCAAGCCTAAGCCCAGGGACTCGGGCCCAAACGGGCCGGGCCTATCCCGGGCTGCGGGCTATTTTTACACTCCCAGTCTCTCCCCGGTACTTGAACCGTTTACCTTCTGTTTAGATAGTATACTTCATACCAAGAGGCTGAAGGAAGTGCTGCTAAAGTATAACAAAAATGCTCATTCGAGCTTATTTATTTACATGTGAGAGATATGTAAGAAGAAATATATGTGCATGCTAATTGTATGACTAGATGGGAAAATATACACATATCACTTGTATATATATTTAGATAAATTACACTGATAATTTCTATATTTTGATTCTTATATCATTTTGGTTCTTATAATTTCAATTAGCTTGATTTTGACTATGAATTTTTGATTTTATCTCAATTAAGTTCAATTGATCACAAAATGTTCATATGAGCAGATTCTATCATGTTTTTAAGAACTAAATTGTAAACTTAATGAGTATCTCAATCAAATTCGTCGAAATTGACATAAAATTTTAAATTAAGAGCAAGGTCGGCCCTGAGATTTAGGGAGCCCAAGGCGACCTTCGGAAATGGGGCCTTTCTTACATTGGAAAAAAAAAAAAAAAGTTGATGGATAAATGGATAAAAAATTATTTGCACATATAATCATTAAAATTATAAACAAAAATTTACTTTCATTTATTAAGATAGGAAGCAATCATTATAAATACTCAAAAAACTAAAAATCTGGTATTGTTGTTTTATAGTTTAGCAATATCCAGTTTACAATTGAACCAACTATCACATAAACATTACTCTTCTCACATTTTTAGCTGCAAAATCACTAATGAAGCTTGTGTAATCGAATTTATCCACCATATCCTTTTCAATGGATAACAAAGCTAACCCATTCAATCTTTCTTGTGACATAGTTGATTGAAGGTAAGATTTGATTAACTTCAACTTTGAAAAACTTGTTTCTCCAGAGGCCACTGTAACAGGTATAGTTAACAAAATTCTATACACAATCCATGCATTTGGGAAACAACCATCCATTGTTTTCAAATAATTTAATACTTCAATTGGCCTTTTGATTCCTTCCGGTAAAACTTCTTTCAAGACATTCAACTCTGAAAATAGATTTCTCCCATCAATATCAGAAAGTTCATCATGTTTTAGAAAATCTTCAAAATTAACACAATAAGTCTTCAAAGATTCCTTGTTGGTAGAACTCAACTTTTTCAAATCAAACAAAAAATCATATTTTGGGGTTCTATTTTCAACCCAAATCTGGGGGCCCAAGGCGCAGGCCTCTTAGGCCTGCCCTTAGGGCCGGTCCTGCAAGAGAGGTGGTTGACAGGTTACCCATTGATCGCTACAGCCCAGTTCTCATCCTTGCTTCCATTATATCAACTTGTTTCCTGTAGTATTCAACCGGCAGACCAATGCTTCGCGCAATCCCCATCCGAAGTTTAGGTCCATAGCGAGAATTGCTGCCCTCTTCTTTGGTGACAAATTTGTAGCCCTTTTGGTCATGACCCACTCTGCCACAGTTGAAACAAAAATCAAACAATTTCTCATATTTGAAGGTGATCCATGGAGCCTTAATAGTCCTCTGTGTAGCCCCATCACCATGAAGCACAAACCCTCAAGGCAGAGGTTTAGTGATGTCCATTTCCACACGAACACGCAGGAAATTTCGGTATAGAATGAGCTCCTCACAATATGCTTCTACACGGAGTAGTAGTCCTATCTTCCTTCCTATAATTTCACTGTTTGATTTAGTAAGCTTCTCTGGAGGCAATCCATGAATCTGAATCCAAAAAGGACTCCATATGAACTCCATGGGGCCTCTTGCTAGACCCACCTCCAATCTTCAATCTCATCAAAGGTGAACAAATACAGATTATCATTCTAAGGAGCAATAGAGAATGGGGCATTCGTTTTAAAAGCTCCCTGAAGGACAGACGAAACCGCTTGTTTGTTAAGCTGTTCTGCGGCAATAATCTTCCCGACCAAACATCAGTGGGCTATAGCTTCGATAGACTCAATTCC